AGTGCGCGAGGTGGTTATAAAAGGCTCATACCGCCCAGGAACGAGGTATGCTAACTTTTGCACTATCTGGTCTATCTTGCCTTTGAAAGACTCTAACTTGAGCTTCAGAGCCCTTACGCCGGGTTCTCCCCGGAGCTTCTCTTCTCCCTCCGTTTCAGGTCCCTACCACCCAGTTCAGAGGCAAGATCGTTGACAGCTAAGATCGGCCAGATTGTGCATCATCAAGAGATGTTCCTATTACACGGCTGGGAAGTGTTGTGGGGCACCAATCTGATTTCACAACTACGATCGTTTTAACTGAAGCCTAAGTCACCTGGGTAGCCACAATCTTACTTTGAATTTCAGTAATAAATACACTACCATCAAAGGTGACTCTAAGCTGGTGATTGACTATTTAGACCCCCACGCAAGGTTTAAAATTTCGTAATATATCAACCCGTATCAGCCGATACGTATCGTTTCCATAAGAAACCGATACACGGAACATGTAAAATTCATGTGTTCCATTTCTTTTTGTATGTATTGGCCGGTACAGGCCCGTATCGGGCTGTTTCGGATCTGTACCGGTCGATACGGGCCCGTATTGGGCCGTATTGGATCTGTACCCACCGATACAATCCCAAAACAGGCCGATACAAACCTTGTTAGTGTAAAAACTACAAATATTAACAATAGCAAGACTCAAACCTTGGTCACCAGATTTTAATGCACATAATTTCACCACTAAACCAATCCAATTTGTTTGTTGTAATTACATGCATTTTTAGTTTTAAGTCGATTGTTTTTCTTTTCTTAGTGGTGCTTATTAATAAATACTGAAATTAATTATTAAAATTTATATATTAAGTTAATTATATCAATCATTTGAAAATTGATGTATATACATTCATATTTTAGTTTTTTTGTTTTTTTTCACATTTTAGTTATTTCATCATTTTTCAATGACTACTAATTATGTATCGATATCACATTTTATATAAAGGTTAAATTATGATTTTTTACATTTAAATGATTTATTTACAATTATATAAAACTTATAAGCATTGTTAATAACATATTTTTTATGATTTATTTGAATTTCTTAACATATTTATGTGTGTATATTGATTTTTCGTCTATATCTATGTGTATCCAAAATGTATCCCGATACATCTATTAAAACTGTCTTTCTGATACTTTAAACTTTGCCACCACAGAGATTCAAGCCGATTATTGATAACTGTAGAGCCTTATTCGAAATGATGGAGGGTGATGACTGATGAGTACCGTCATGTCTATCTTGAAGCCAACAAGGCTATGGATGGTAAGCTAATAGTGCCAACTCCTGTTGATGTTACTAACCTCCCTTAGACCCTTAAACTCTTAAAAAAGCTTGCGTGTTTACAAGTTCAGCTCTCAGAAGGACGTTTGCATATTTCCTGGAATGAGCGAAGATGAACTACAGTTTCCTTTGACTTATTAGAGAAGACAAATCCATTAGTAAACAAGAATTTGATAGAACCATATATAGCAAATGTAATAAACCAAAGTGGGAATTTTGTTCATTCAGTTTAAAATTAAATCAAATTGAGGCACTACTAGCATTCTAACAAAGCTTAAATATCATGTATCTTGTCTTATCTCATCGATTGACAGGGGAGGCTAGTATCTTTCACCTTTTTTGGGTGATAGTGATAGGTAATAGGTGGAGATCATCAAGAACAAATTTGAAATAGTAGCTATATTTGTTTCAAACCTTCCCTGCAAAATGACCATAAATTTTCTCAAAACAAAATGTTTCACAACTGATTCTAGTACCATGGGCTTATGGAAGAGCTTTGTATCTATCTACACCTGCCATGTGCCATGTTGCAACCTAAAACAAAAAGGCATCTGTGCCATTTCATAATTCATTACTTAACACTTTAAGTTAAAGATACATGCCATGCAGAGCGTGGATAAAAATTCCTGCTATAGCTTATAAGTAGAACTAGACTACTATAGATATTGCATGCATCAGGTGTCTAAAATTCAATTAATGAAGTCTTTTTAAGGAGCAACCTAACCATGGGTCTTGGCCTTCTGAATGTTCAACATGCAGCCAGGTATGGGGTCACATCTTAAATCGGGTTTTAAAATTCCCTTGAATAAAATAGAAATGAATGATGACGGTTCATTCATTAAGAAAGCAACTACTGTCTTACCCAAGAATATATTTGATCCATTTACCCAAAAAAAAAAGAATATATTTGATCCGGCCAATACCATGCAAGTAAAAAGATTCGAAAAGCATTGATGAATGATGAACACTGAAATTAGAACGTTGGATGCTAATTAACCCATAGAATAATAATAATCCATATTAAGAGGGTAGCACAGAGCTTGGTGACAAATGACAACTGACACATACTCTCTAGCCCGATCCCGATGTCAAGGTGGAAACAAATTTTACCCCTAATCCAAATCATGTATCCTTATATAGCCTTCAACAATTTCCAATTGTTGTACGTCGGCTCTCTTTTCTCCTTTTTCTCATACATTGCAAATAAGCTGTGTATGTTGCTGGATTTGCAGCAGCCCATGAAATGTGTAAGCAATGAGGTAAAAGATATTTATACCAGCAGGGCTCAAGGCTCATTCCTTAATTGGAGTTCTTCATTAGATACGCTACAATACATCCCAAAGTCGCACCGGCAGCAACCTGTAACCATATAAAGAGAAGTAAGATCTCCTCAACTGAAAAAGAACCACCAGAGTGGAAAATATTGGCATTGTATTCAGGAACTCAGAGAGGCAGGAATAGGAGGGGTAATCAGGAACTCAGAAAGGAAGATGATGGCATTGTATCCAGGACAGGTTGGCATGGGAAATTCTCTTATGGCTGAACTGTTGGCCTTGCTGCAGGGGCTCAGATTAGCTAAACAGTTGGGCCTTTGATCGATTGAGGTACAAGGGGATTCAAAAGTAGTTATCTCTTGGGCAAATACAAACAAGCATATCCCATGGATTTGCTGACTCTCTTGCTAAGCAAGGAGTTACAAGACAACACCTGTTTTGGGCTTCTATGTAACATGGGTATAAGGAAAGGGTTTGTCTACTTTATATTCATGTTGTACTAAGCCCCACTGTCACTATTTTTTATTTAATGAATTAGAATTAAATTTCTGCTGATCCAAAAAAAAAGAACCACCAGAGAGTGATGCCATCTTTCTTGCATATATGTTCCTGCTGGTGTAAATGAAATGAAGTGGTGCCCAACCTCTGAACATGGATTCCCAGAGTAAAGACATGGAGGGACATTTATATTCCCCTAATTGGAGTTTGAGTCTGAGAGCAGCCACTCGGTGCAAAAAAATGTCTAAGGTTAGGGCAGTATCCAGTCTACCCCTTCCAAGATGATAGCTGGGATTGACATTGGATAATGGCCTACACACACAAATAGTATGGCTGTATGCATGTATATGTATATGGGTAAATCTGGGTATGATACCGGAAGAGCTTTGATGAACCAACAAGAATTGGATGTTTGAAATCTTCTGTGTTAATGCTAATTGGATGTAATATATAATGTTCATTTAGACTATAAGAAACATGGAAACAACAATAATTGAAAAAGAAGTGACATCTGAAAACAATGAGTTAGGAAAATATTAAATCTGTGTGTGTGTCTGTGTCTGAGTCTATCTTAGTTGCAAGAATGATTTTTTACACACTGAAGGGGCTAGAAGAGCTAAGGGTAGACCAAAAAGGCACATGGGTACAAGTAAGAAATGATTTAAGCACTAATAAATTTAACAGTGGATGCGGCTTTAAATAGAATGGATTGTTGAAACAGGATTCATGTAGCCAACCCCATATAGTTGGGACGATGTTTATTATGAGCAACTCAGCCCAACCATGAGCATTCATATGCCAAATTTAACCAAAGAAACAGATATTATCAAGTTGGAAAATTCTGAAATTTGGTTATCAAAAATCTATGCATTAAATAGCTGATTGGAGAAAACATATGCAACATCTGAAGGTAAATGAGAAGAAGAATTCATACAAATGAATATTCAATTATCTGAAAATAGCACATATAATCAAATGCAAATCTGTGCCACTAACCTGAAGTGGAGTATGACCAAGTGAATCACGCAAAGGCCTAGCATTAGACAATGGGTGTTCAGGAGGAAATTCACACACTATTTGGTTCAGCAACTGCAATGAGCACCAAATACAACAAAAAGATGAAAGAATATACAAGTGCATAAATTCAAATTACCATGTTAGTTTAGCTATAGTTAATTCAGTAACATCCACTGAACATGTTTCAGCCCACAACTCAAAACAAAAGATGTCCAAACACAATTTAACCACAAACTGGGCAACCACCTAAAGATTGCAATGAATATTGATATTCCAACCACATATCATGAATGGCAAAGCTTTTTTTCTTTTTTTTTTTGAGAAATAGTAAACAAATTTCATTAAATAAAAAATAGGAACATGAGTGGATGTACAACACAGAGGGGAATCCCCAAAAGCTTACACAAAACCTCCAAAAGAGCACCAAATTTAGTTAAGCCATATGCAATAGGATTTAGCTCCCTCAGAATCCAGATCAGGTTTGCATTTAAACAATCCAGAGAGTCCCTAGCCTCTGCCAAAAAAATGACTCAATCTCCATGGTGCACCCTCCTTGTCCCTTGGCCATTTTATGGTATTTGCTGAATCCCCTGCAATAGTTAAGTTCTGAAAACCCAAGTTTCTCACTACTCTAATTCCTGTTAGAGAAGCCAACACTTCGGTCTTCGTAGAGTCAGCAAAGCCTATTGGACCCATAGTTGTCAAGGTGACGCCTAGGCAACAAGGCACCCTTGGAGGCTCGCCTCGCCCAATCGCCAAGCAGTTTTGCAATACTGTGTAATAAAATACTTTTATATTGTTATTTTTTTGAGATTATAATTAACCAATAGGTAAGGGAAGAACATAAAATTTTGTCTAATCAACACATTTCTTCTTCTTCTTCTTCTTCTTCTTCTTATGAAAATTATGGATGTTATTAAAGAAAGTTGGTTACGGAACCTAGTGAACTACCCTAGGATATGTCATTTTTACTTCAAAAAATCCATCGCCTAGGCGACAAGGCGCCCCCCTGTCGCCTAGCCTCGCCTTGGGCCCTTGGCACCTTGAAAACTATGATTAGACCACTGTAAACCCAGCAGACATTACCCCTTTCATCCCTTATAATGCCTCCAATGCCAGCAGCCAACTACTGCTAAATCAGGATTACCTGAAGCGCTTCCATCAAAGTTTAGAGTTGCCATTCCTTCACAGCTAAATACTGGCCCTCTCAAGACAGTTTGAGAAAGTGTGGGAGGAACAGAAAAGTATGAGCACTTCTGCTAAGGCCATTAACTGAGAAACCTCTGAACAAATCAAAATTAACATCCCATAGATTGCAAAGGTAAGTAATATAAGAAATTAACTCTTCAAGGAGCGGGTCTTGTTGTCAAGAAGGTGCTTATTTCTTTCCTCCCAAATTCCCCACATCATTGCATGCAAAACAGTTTTCCGGTAAATTTTACCTCTTTTTCTTAAGCCTCTTCCTTGCTACTGTTGTATAAAATCCAGAATATGCTCTGGAACAACCCAACTGTAACTCCTACCAAAATTGGAGCTTTTTGTTGAGAGGTGTACAATGGGAAGATCAACACTGTGGACATACTACAGAAAAGGAGACCCCCCCCCATTATGCTTATCCCCACGCTGGTGCTGGTGTACTCTATGTAAATCCAATGAAGAGAATTGTTACCACTTACTAACATCCTGTCCTTTTGCTGCAGATATATGGGATTGGCTTTTCTCTTTGTTAGGTTGCAGGTGGTCCTTGCTAATGGAGGTAGGCAAGCTTTTTGACCTTTCTACCTTTGCCAATGGAGGTCCTTGCCAATGGCAAAGTTTTATCTTTTACACTTTCAACTAACATGGTTGAGCCATAAACATAATACTTTAACCAATGGTATCAGATTCTGATTTTGCATTGCATATGCCAGAGATGTTTATCGTTACATGAATGCTATGAAGGCAATGGTTGACATGAGAAATTGCTAAAACCTATGTTGACCATATGCAGTTCAGCAAAATAGATAAAGAAGAAAACAGTCAGAAATTAATGAAGAAACCAAAAATAATGATATTGTTCAGAACTTCAGATTGAATGTCGAACCAATACTGCACCACTCTATACAATTTTTAAGTACAGTAAATGACCTTTCTTTTTTATCAGCACAGTATATGACCTTTTCGCCTAGAAAAAACAACCATCAGCCTGATAACAAGTCAAAAAGGTTATATAGAGGGTCCCAAGATAAGGGCATGTTTCAAACTAGTTGCATGGAACCATGTTTAGGTCATTTATCAATGACCCTAGGAGCAAACTGTGAGAATAAGCAGCAGACCTCCAGCAGACACTTAAACAACCTCAGCAACAGCAGTGGCTGGATTCCAACCTTGCTTCCAGGATTTAATGGTACCTTATTAGATTCTGTTGCCCCACCATTACATGGTGTGATTGTAAAATATCAGGCTGTCAAGTGTGAGGACGTGGGTTCAAGTCTGAGAGTGGTCACTTTGTGCAAAAAAAAAAAAAATGGCAAAGGTTAAGACCATAAATCCCATATCCAGTCCACCCCTCCCAAGACCCAAGATAGCTGGGACCCACATTGGGTAATAGCCATTTTTTAATGAGGTTTCGTTGTCTCCACCAGATCCAACAGAGTCCAACCTTGCTTCAAGGATTTAATATAAGTAATACCCCAATTAAATTGTGTTCTCCCTACCAAATAAGCAAGCACATATAACATAGGATCCCAAGCCCCCAACCCCTCAAATCTTAGTCCCCTCTCATCCCAAACCAATCATTTAAGACTTATGTTATATTCTAACATAAGCTTTTATACCAAGAAAATTCAGGGTGGAACCATCTTATTTTTGGAAGAGAGTAGACAAAGTGGAAGAGAACATCATAGTTCACCTATAGAAATTCCATAATAGGACATCTGTTGGGGTACCAACTAACCCACAATACATGTCATCCCTTAAAAAAAATAAAAATTTGGTTTTACTAAAGCCACATAAGATGGTCAGTTCAGGTTAAAGGATAATAATCTTCACTCCAGGCGATAAAACAATGAAGAATAGAAATATCTTTGTCACATCATCTTCTTATCCCCAGCCTATGGTTACAAAGAAATCCATAATTTGAGATGCATGGCTATGTGGACCAGATGAACTTGAGATTAAATAGTTCTGTCCTGTATTTTCATGTTAAATACTGAATCTAGGGGTGCAATTTGTGTCGGGTTAGGGTGGGAACTTGTTAAATTTTCAATGGGCCCAAACCCTAACTCAAGCCTGATGTAAAGGAAATTCCTCAAGTCAAGCAACCTGACTTGCAGCCCTAATTGAACCATTTGGTTAAACAGTGGGCAAACTTCTTGTGGAAGGTGGTTACTATTATAACTCAAAAAAAAGGTAGTTACTATTATACAACTTTTAATACTACTAAATTCTTAAAAAGTTTCAGCTACAACAATACTGACTAATGACTTGTAGACATATTTAGGTACATTTAATTAAACAGTGGGCAATCTCTGAACAAGAAACTTAAAAGAAAATATTCATAATATTAAAACAAGACACGTTTTACAATTGATAACAGGTGAAAAATTTTATTTAATAAGGAAAAACAAACTAAACTTTAAAGAAAAAGAGCGAGCGAAAAGGATGGCTAGCTCACCTGTAATGTTTTAAAAAGAAGAGCAGATTGAGTGGTTGAAAGAGGTTCAACCAAAACTGAACCTCTTCCTGGTCCAGTATAGATGAATTGAACCTTGTAAACCAGAGTTGAGAACTGTTAGAGCCAGAGTGGTTGAATTTTCAGTTAACTGACCAGCACAGTTTGTAAAACATTTTTCACCCAAAACAAAACCCTGAATCATTCAATTGAATGTTTTCAAACCGCTGTTGACCCAGACGGTCGGACTGTTTGGCTCGGGAACTGTCTAGGCAACCAGTTACGTTTTACCCCAAACTCGGTCCCTGGCTAAAAACCGTTGAATTGGTCAATGACCCATTGACCCGGGCAGTCGAACCGTCAACCCGTTCAATGGTTTTTGGCCTTTTATTTTAATTTTTTTGTCAGAATGGGCCGTCCATTTGAACTGGACGGTTGAACCATCAGCCCAGAAACCAGTGGCCAAAACAGTTCCGGTTCCGGGTTGTTTTTTAAAACATTGATTCAATTACATGATTTAGATCTTGTTGGTTAGACAGGTGCTTAACCAAGGTTCATCTATCAAAAAGAGGTGGCCAAGGCTTAGAGGATAGTAACTATCCGTTTCTTCACTGCTCTATCTCGGCTAAGATCTGGAACCACTACTTTTCAGCTCTGGGTCTTGCCTGGGTTATGCCCGTTTCTGTGAAGGAGTTGTTGAGGTGTTGGGACTTGGGAGTTACATGGTCTGTCAAAGCTTGCTAGAAGTCTGTGGGGGTCTATTCCAGCTGCTGTGATCAGTACTATTTGGGTAGAAAGAAATAAAGACTTTTCCACAGCATTTCCAGAGATCCAGAAGAACTTATTGCCTTTTCTTTTGGAAAATTGCTCTCTTGGGTCTCGACTGTAAAGGGAATTTAGATCTCTCATCTTGGAGTTGTAAATCAACATTGGGTATATAATTAAGTAGGTTGTTTCTGTTTCTTCCCTCCCTCTCTACAAAATAAAGGAAACCGAGGATTGGTTTGACTTAGAACAGGGGACAAACTTGACTCTGAAAGGTTGGAAGCTCAGCTACTCTGCAAAAAGAGGAAACCGCGATTTCACTCTTCAGGCATTCAAGTTTCTTTCGAGATGATCAATCCCACACTCCCAGTTAAGGCATTGAGGTTACTCCAAGATGGTATATTGTACCCATCCTAACAACCCCAAACCGCTCAAGCTAAAACTAAAGGACAAACAGTGTTTCCGCAACCAAAGAGGCTGTGGAAGACTGGAGGCACAGAAAGCAGGTAATCATTACAATATGCTCTACATTTCAGCTGTTATTGGCTTCTCATTGCAAATATTTTGGTTAGAGTTGGTTAAAAGAAGACATTGAGGTCTACAGTGACCTAACAACCAGATGCGAGCATAATCCTATGATATCACAAACTGCAAC